TTAGATACATCACGACTGTCACGAATAATGCTGTGATTGCGAAAAAAAACATTTAAGCTTAACTAAAACAACTGAAAGATTGTGGTGGACTGCTGTACAGAAATCGATTCAGAGGCAATGGTGTTTTTTTTCGCTCGCAAGATGAAGGTACACTTAACTGTTTCTATTGTAAACTGTAATTCAGTGTGCGAGAAGACAAAGTCAAACGAACCAACTAAAATTTCTCATCAAGTTATGACTATGTAGGTCAATTATTTGCAAACAAAAGCAGTATATAGTGCGGAAGGTATGTTTCTACTACAATAGTAACATGCACCAATATCCCATTCATCCCGTATAATTTACCTACGGTGATGCTCTGGACGTTCTGGCCAAACTCAAACCTCACTGCGGGTCAACCGAAGTGTAGCAATGTAGACTCCAAAGTTAACGCACTATAAATACACAATTTGGTAATAAACCAAGGTTATCTCGGGCGAACCAGTATTCCAAGTTTTTTCTTCTAATATGACCTATTTGGATCCAATGCGTAGTAAGCACGGCCTTCGAAACTATCACTGTATGGAAGGGTGCTTTGAATCCTGAGTATATCAGTATCTACGTGCATAACGACATATACATATTTGCACACGCATCTATCTACGCTGCTTGGTGGCAGTATATACATAGCAATAACGTCACTAGATACTTTGTATGTGTTCCTGTTCTGCACTCACAAGTCACAACACGTACAGCCGGGTGAGCGCAATCACTGCCGTGCTAATCGGAAGTGGGTATCGACCCACTAAACCCCCAGTTCTTGCGTTATTGAATTTTACACTGTACCGTTAGAGACCTAAGAGCACTGTACATACTGTAATAAATTATACGAACACGAAATAATTATTTCATTTTGAAAAAAAGGTTTCAGACGGAGAGATTGCCAAAAAGATAACAAAACTTATATATAGAACTATAGATAGGATATTAAAATATTATCCTACTATGATTATCCGATCACTCGGGCAGTATCAACGTGTAATGTATTTACATACGGCTTCAGTGCATTACCCAGATAGCAGACTTGTGCACATAGACACCAGAACATAGACCGTAGTATAACGACAAAAGTATCAGAAGTCATTGAACTTTTATGAAGCGTAGTGGACATTTGAACCCAGCCCATATGTCGGCATATACATAGTCACTACCGGTTGTTATACAACATACTTATTCTCATATATATATAAATTAAGGCACGCACAAACACACACACACACACACACACATACATATATATA